TATACCATAAAGTGCAGTGACTCTTGTGGGTGAACTTAATAATTCTTTACAATAATTCTTATTCATAACATCACATCTAAGCTCAACTATACCAACTCGCTGCTTCAGGCCTTCCCAACTCTTCCCTCCACAAGCGGCACATCATTCAGAACTCTGCAGCTCGTGTCCTGTCCTGCACTAGGCTCCGTGATCCTATCAGTACCCACTACCCACCCTCGCCCGGCTCCATTGGCTCCCCATCCTCCAGAAGAGAGTTCAAAATTCTCATCCTCACCTTCAAAGCCCTCCTTGTCCCACTTCAACCTGTCCGACTAACCTCATCAACCTGTCCGCTCCCTCCGCTCAGCAGGCTATAGCCGGCTCCACGACCCCACCAGGCCTGCTCCCCTCACCCGCATGCTGGCACCCCCCCCTCACTCGCATGCCTGTGCCATCCCCCCTCACCACTCGTCCACGTGCCCTGGCAACACCCCCCCCACTCCCCTGCGCCCTCCCGTCCCCACATCCCCCCAGCGTGCCCTCTCCCTCACCCGCACACCCATTCCCTCGCCCTCAGCCCCTTCGCACACCCTCTCTCCCCGCTCGCACCCACTCTGTCTCTCCCGCACACTCCCCCTCTCTATTTCCTGCCACTCCCTCTCTCTCTCCCGCGCACAACCGCCCTCTCGCTCCCACGCGGGAGGAGAGGGGCGTAGCATGCGCGTGGGAGAGAGAGTGCGCGTGCGCTGGAGAGTGGAGGGCCGTGGGCGTGCGCGCGTGAGTGAGAGGGAGATGGGCGCCTCTCTCTCTTTCCCGCGCACAGCCCTCCTTTCTCGCTCATGCACCTTCCCCCTCTCTCTCGGGCACACAGTAGAGAGAGAGAGTGTGAGCGCGTAGGAGAGAAGGGGTGTGTACTCTCTCTCCCGCACGCACGCCCCCACCCCACCCTCTCTCCCGCGCGCGCATGTCACCCCCCTCTCCTCTCCCGCGCACGCTTCCTCCCCCTCTCTCTACCGGGTGCCCCCCCAACTCTCTCTCTGGCCCAACCGGGCGCGCTCTCTCTCCCCCACCCTCACGCGCGCTCTCTCCCCCGCTCGCAACGACACGCGCTCTCTCCAGCACCGACACGCGCTCTCTCCCGCACCGACACGCGCTCTCTCCCGCACCGACACGCGCTCTCTCCCGAACCGACACGCGCTCTCTCCCGCACCGACACGCGCTCTCTCCCGCACCGACACGCGCTCTCTCCCGCACCGACACGCGCTCTCTCCCGCACCGACACGCTATCTCACACAGGCAATCTCTTGCACACACAATCTCTCTCTCTGTCTGTCATCTGCGCGGCTCACTATCTGGAGCAGGATCCAGCAATTGGTAAGTTCGTGGTGAGTAAGAAGATTCGCTTGTCCTCCCTTCAGCTCGGAAGTGACTTCTTGACAGACTGCAGCAACCGTCAGTGTTATTTCCACTCTCCGTGCTGCGTCCTCCCGACCACCAGCTCCTGTGAATGCCATGAGAGGATGGTTCGCCGGGGGAGGGAGGGGCAGCCCAAAGTTGAAAATGGTTTGGGGCCAGATGAAATCATTGGGATACAGCCCGGGGACAATCTGTTGGACCACCCTGCCTTAATGAATAAATAAAGTTTGCTTTATGCTCAAAGTGGCTGCAATACATTGCACAGAAACAGGCTATTCGGCCCAGTCAACGCAAGTGTTAATGCTCCACCAGTCTCCTATCATTAGTTACTTACTTCCAAACCCTCCTCCCTCATGTGAAAATTTAGCTTCCTCTTAAACGCATGTATACTATGCATTTCAAGCACCACCTCTGCAGCGAGTTCACAGTGTACATATTCTCGACACACAATTGATGCTGGAAGTAATAATTGCAAACTTCATATGTCTTAATTCAACTGACAACATCAAAACAGAAAATCGACAAATCTCCCAGAGTGGTGTTATTCAGAATAACCGAGTTTCTCCTGTTAATCTGGCCAACAATCCCATTGATAAAATTGGTCATTCATTTTAAACTGTATGTGGAGCATTGTTGTGTATAAATTGACTGTCACAAGCCGGTGTTTATAATAATCCTTGCATTTGATATAGCACCTTATCACGTCTTCAAGACATCTCAAAGCGCTTCACAGGATATACAATACAATATGAAATTACATTTGTAAAGCGCCTTTCACGTCGGGAAGCCAGTAGAGCTGGGCAAGGGTGGATGTGATGGGGTCACAGAGACTGGTGCGGGAGAGGACATGAGCGGCAGAATTCTGGATGATCTGCAGCTTGTGAAAGGAAGAGTTGGGAAGGCCAACAAGCATGGGGTTAGCATAATCGAGCCTGGTTGTAATGAAGGCATGTATGAGGGTTTCAGCGGTCTGAGGAATGAGGTAGTGGCTGAGTCGGGCAATGTTGCGGAGGTGGGGGAAGGCAGAGCGGGTCATGGCACGCATGTGGGGGAGAAAGGACAGTTGAAGGTTGAACAAGACACCTATATACTCTAAAGTGAATTAACTGTGGGCAAAACGTGGCAGCCGATTGCGCACAGCAGTGTCCCACAAACAGTCATGGATTGAGTGACCAATTTTTTTTTAAGGAAGGAATTATTACTTCCGGAAAAGCTAACCACTGGGTTCCTACTTACTGCTAGGTAAACAGAGGTGTGTGGAGTAAGAAAACTTGCCTGGGAATTGAACCCAGGTCTCTCGCTCACGAGATGAGTGCTCTAACTCCTGAGCCACTTTTTGTATGGGACACTCGTCTACAAAATATAGTCACAAAACTTTTACAGTTTGTCCTCTGAAGCACTTTGAGACTTCCTTCTGGGATGAAGGAAGCTATATTAAAAGCAAAGTTTATTATTTCTATTTATAATAACAACACAATTATATTTGTATAAAATACAAATTTTATTTCTATTTAGGTCAGGGGGGGAGAAGAGGGGGGTTGGGTGACCGATGGCATGGTCGAAGAGAGGGTTTTGAGGCGGGACTTGAAGGAGGCTAAGGAGGGTGCGAGGCGGAGCGATTGGGCGATGGAAATCCAGAGGTTGGGGGCAGAGTGGGGCGGGTGGGTCGGGGGACATGGAGCAAGCTGGAGCCGGCTGAGCGGAGGGAGTAGGCGGGTTGGTAGGGGGTTAGGAGGTCGCAGAGGTATAACTTAGAACACCAAGAACACACAACCCTGAAAAAATATAAAATACCCATCTTATTCTGGGCCTTTTCCCAGTGGCACTCTGAAACTAGCTTCAAATGCAGAACGCTACTGAAATTAATGCAACTGCTCAGAGGTGCACACGGCTCTTTTCTGCTGCTGACGCCAACAGAGAAAGTCCAAAATTGCAGGTGTCCTCAATCACCAAATTCGTTGGGAAACAATATGTACTTAAAAAATTGTATTGTCTAATGGAGATAATTAAAATTCTCATATACAACAGGTGGAGCGAATTAAGCTGAGCAGAAACTTCTCTTCACTACAGATTCATTTATGTCAATGATCTGTATTCTCTAAAGCCCATCTCAGGATTATCTTGACATGAATAAACTATTAAAGTGAACACGTTGTTTTGCAACACTTCAAATGATGCCACAATGCAAGTTACACATAACACATGAAGTTGTGGTTTGAAATACCACCAGCAAATGACAACATCTCTTGACCCAAATATCTCTTCCTCCTTCATTTTAAAGATAACCAATTTTTACATATTTTTACACCACACAAACCATTATGTATCATGCGACCACACACGTTGTGTGATACATAATGATGTGTGTGGCCTAAAAATAACAATAGTAAGTGAAAGTCAACCCACTGGGAGATGTTGGTTTCAAGTGCCCAAACCACACACGCCCAGTGCCCTACCCACTGCTTGCCTCTCCCAGTGCCCCGTATCCCCAGCCCACCGTCTGCCTCTCCCAGTGCATGGCCCTCTGGCCGCAGTGCCCTGCCCTCTGGCTGCTTCCTCTGGTGCCCTCCCATTATCTGCCTCTCCCATCTGCTGTGCTCACCCACCCCCAATGCCCTGCCCACCAACTGTCCCTAAGCGCCCTGACCACCCGCGCCCGGCGCCCTGCCCACCCGCGCCCTGCCCACCCGCGCCCTGCCCACCCGCGCCCTGCCCACCCGCGCCCTGCCCACCCGCGCCCTGCCCACCCGCGCCCTGCCCACCCGCGCCCTGCCCACCCGCGCCCTGCCCACCCGCGCCCTGCCCACCCGCGCCCGGCGCCCTACCCACCCGCGCCCTGCCCACCCGCGCCCTGCCCACCCGCGCCCGGCGCCCTACCCACCCGCACCCTGCCCACCCGCGCCCTGCCCACCCGCGCCCGGCGCCCTACCCACCCGCGCCCTGCCCACCCGCGCCCCGCGCCCTGCCCACCCGGCGCCCTGCCCACCCGCGCCCTGCCCACCCGCGCCCTGCCCACCCGCGCCCTGCCCACCCGGCGCCCTGCCCACCCGCGCCCGGCGCCCTGCCCACCCGCACCCGGCGCCCTGCCCACCCGGCGCCCTGCCCACCCGCGCCCTGCCCACCCGCGCCCTGCCCACCCGCGCCCTGCCCACCCGGCGCCCTGCCCACCCGCGCCCTGCCCACCCGCGCCCTGCCCACCCGCGCCCTGCCCACCCGGCGCCCTGCCCACCCGCACCCGGCGCCCTGCCCACCCGCGCCCTGCAACGTTCAGAGCACCCGGTGCCCCCACTAACACATACAGAAAGCCGCGGCAGCTCTGGAGCCCTCAGGATGCACTGAGCCGCACAGGTGCAGCGGGGAAAAGCCGGGCCGAGCCCCGCGGCGCGGGAGCCTCATGGAAAACTCACCAGACCTTGGCGCCCTGGCCTGGGCCGCGCACACACACACACACACACAGACACACACACACACCGGCCGCTCCCCGGGACTCTCTCCCCGCTCCCCGGGCCGAGCTCTGGGCTCCAACTCGCAGGCCGGCGGGGAGGCTTCGGGAGAGGGAGGTGCGTTCCTGCCGCTCGCTCCCAACTACGCGCGGCATCACTCACCTCCTCGGCCACGCTCAGGCCCCGCGTCTCCCCGCCGTCGCTCTCCATCTCGCCCTCCGGCCCGTTCACCACCGGCGGGTCCGGGCTGGCGGCCGCCATCTTACAGCCACCCAGGGCCGGAACTGACGCCGTCTGACATCACACCAGCCCGGGGCGCCGTCTGACGTCACTGCCCTGGCAGACGATGACTGACGTCACAGGGGATCCTCAGAGTGAGAGGGAATCACCCCATCACAGTCACTGTGTACCAACACCCAGAGTGAGGGGGAATCACCCCATCACAGTCACTGTGTGTACCAACACCCAGAGTGAGGGGGAATCACCCCATCACAGTCACTGTGTGTACCAACACCCAGAGTGAGGGGGAATCACCCCATCACAGTCACTGTGTACCAACACCCAGAGTGAGGGGGAATCACCCCATCACAGTCACTGTGTGTACCAACACCCAGAGTGAGGGGGAATCACCCCATCACAGTCACTGTGTGTACCAACACCCAGAGTGAGGGGGAATCACCCCATCACAGTCACTGTGTGTATCAACACCCAGAGTGAGGGGGAATCACCCCATCACAGTCACTGTGTGTATCAACACCCAGAGTGAGGGGGAATCACCCCATCACAGTCACTGTGTGTATCAATACCCAGAGTGATCGGGATTCCCTGCCATCACACCTCGCTGAGTTTATCAACACCCAGAGTGGTTCAAAGTGTACATCAGAGCGAAGGAATGAGGAGACTCAACAACAAATCACATTTGTATAGTGCCGCGCATGTTAAGAGGATGTCCCAAGGTGCTGCATTATCAGTCAGGGATTTGGACCTGAACAGGGGATGATTGAAATCAGCAAGGTAGCGAGGGTCGGGGTAGGAGGATGACCGAAGGCATGGTCGAAGAGGAGGCTCTTGAGACATGCCTTAAAGGAGGCAAGGGAGAGAGCTAGGCAAAGGGACTGGGATGGAGTTCCAGAGGAGCTTAAGGCCCAACCGCCAATGCTGGGACGGGACGGCCACAGATGTGGAGTAGACCAGCATTTGCTGAGCAGAGGAAGTGGTCAGATCGATATGGCAACTGCTGTTTGTTCTGTTTATGGAAGAATTGACCTAATTTTATTTGCTTTCTCTTTGGCCCATGTACAACCAAGAATGTGTCTTTTAAATTTGGTCAGCTGGGTGCTATACAAATGTAATCTTGTTGTTGTTGCCTCATGAACCTGGAATCCTATTACCATGCTTAACAGTTTCCAAACCAAACATTTAAGATCCTCAGACTCTGGTTATCTATGNAAAAAAATATGATGTTAGGTTATCTCTTCCCAAGACAGGAAAAGCTTGCAACAGGAAGTCCGGTATCTCTTCCAGGCTCTTCCTGCAGTACACGCGAGTCCTCTTTTTTTGGTCACAAACTATTCCAGCGATGTCCAATTTGGGAAAAGCAACAGTCATTGATTTTTTTCTCCATCAGAGTACAAAGTGGAAATTCCCATTAGAATTGCCTTCAATTTCTAAAGGCAGTGTCCAATATTGGACCAAGCAGCCAAGAAACAAGCTTCCTAACTGTGGGTTTCTGATTAACTTGCTCGGTAATTGAGTAAGTGATGTTACATTGTCACTGATAAACTCCCACCTTTAAAACACTTGGTAGTCAGGACTGAGTGTGTTCAGCAACTATCTGGATGCCATCAAGCTCCAACAAAATAAAGGCTGCCTCAGGCAGGATATTCACAAAAATGGCAGATCAGAATCAAATCAATCCAATTCTCCTTGAAAAGTTGGTAATGGGGTTTCCTTGGAGCTGAGGGGGTGAGGTGGAGTAATTGGGGGAAGGAATTCCAGAAGATGGGGGCAGAGTGGCTGAAGGCTCTCCCACCAATGGCGGGGAGAGTGGATTGGGGGCGTGGAGCAGGCCAGAGCCGGCTGAGCGGGGGGAGCGGGTGGGTTGGTAGGGGGTTAGGAGGTCACAGAGATAGGGTGGGGCAAAACCATGGAGGGCTTTATAGGTGAGGACCAGGATCTTGAACTGGATCCTCTGAAGGATAGGGAGCCAATGGAGTAGGGGAGATGGGGTCACGGACTTTGGTGCGGGAGAGGACACGGGCTTCAGAGTCTGGATTATCTGCAGCCCGTGGAGGGAGGAGTTGGGAAAGCCGACAAGCAGGGCGTTTGCATTGTCGAGCCTGGATGTGATGAAGGCATGAACAAGAGTTTCAGCTGCCTGAGGGGCACCTAGGTTCCTGACTGGCTTGGTGAGTTGCAGTGTGCAACCATGGAGGTTGATGCTGCCAGAGCCTGAGGTGCTGAGGCGCTGGCACGAGCCAATCAGGAGGGCCTCAGTCTTCTTGTTCACATTCAACTGTAAGAAATTTGCCCTCATCCAGGACTTGATGTCCGACAGGCAGTCTGTCAGGACAGCAGTGGTCCTGGTGTTGAGGGTGGAGGCAGAAAGACAGAGTTGGGTGTCATCCACGTACATATTGAAGTTGACCCCATGTCTGCGGATGATGTCACCAAGGGGAGCATTATTAAAGAGGGCCAAGGACAGAGCCCTGGGGGACGCCAGACGGGGGCTGGAGGAGAAACTATTAGAGGCAACAAAGTGGAGACAGTGAGGGAGATAGGAATCGAACCAGGAAAGGGCAGGTCCGCGAAGCTTAAGTAAAGAGGAGAGGCGGTGTATGAGGATGGAGTGGTTAACAGTGTTGAAGGCGGCAGAGAGGTCGAGGAGGACAAGGAGACAGAGGGAGTCCTGATCACAGATGTTCAGAATGTCATTAGTGACTTTGACCAGGGCTGTTTCCGTGCTATGGGCAGCGTGGAAACTGGATTGGAGGGGTTCAACGAGGGAATAGCGAGAAAGAAACAAGTGGAGCTGGGGCACGACGACTCGTTCGGAGAGGAGGGATGGGTCCACGGAAGGTTTTTGCAGGATGGGGATGATGACGGCTGTTTTTAGGGGGGTGGGAACTAAACCGGTGGACAAGGTCGGACATCGGACAGGAGGGGCCAGAAGGTGGAGCTGGGAGATGAAGAGAGAGATGGGGATGGGATCGAGGGAGCAGGCGGTGAGTTTGAGTTTGCGAACAATAGCGGGAGGGAGAAGGGAGAGATAGGGTCGAAGGGGTATAAGGGGGATGGGTGGGGCTGGGTCATGAGGAGAGGTGATGTGGGGGTGCCGGAGGACGGGGCAGAGGTGGCTGAACGTATCCCCTCGATTCTGGATTCGAGAAAGTCCAGCATCTTCTCACAGTTGGGAGTTAAGTAAGCAATTAAGTAAGCAGAATGCATCTCTCCAGGGAGAGTGCACATTCCAATCCAACAATCTATCTCTGGTATTTCCATGTGTAGGTGGGTTACATGGAAATCTCAGCTTGCTTTGGATACTCTTAAGCATGGTAATGTTTTTCGCATAACACCCAGCTGACCACCAACCTCCACAAAAAAATAGGTGACATTCGTATGCGGAACTCTTAGCCTGGTTTGGGGACTCTTAAGCACTAGGATAGGTTTACCAATGTATCGGACACTTGGTTGATCAGAGAGGCAGGCAGCCGTTGGGATATGTTGCATTGACTGAAGTGCAATCTTTGGATGAGATGTTGAACCAAGGTTCCATCTACCTGTTAGGTGGGTGTGAAGGATCCCATGGCACACCTCAAGAAGAGAAGGGAGTCTCTTCCTGCTTCCTCCTTTGGAGTGTCAGCTTTGACTGTGAGTTCAAGTCCCAACCTACGACCTTCTAACTTGGTGGTGAGAGTGAGCTAGGCTGACACCCCTCAGCTGATCCTCCAGATAAAATTGGGACACTTCATGGTAGTTTGTCAGACACTGCTGTGTGCAATTCAGCTGCTGCATTAACCTTCAAATAAAGTCACTGCACTTTACAGTAAATCCTGTGAAGCGCTTTAACATGTCCTCTGTTGAAAAAGGCGCTTTCACAAATGCAAGGATATACCCACATCTCTGCAGATCAGCAGCATTACAAAATCTTTTGTGCAGCTCTGGGATTAGGCTGTGACTGGAGCATAACCTTCTCAAGGAAATGTATTTCTCAGTGCACTTAATTAAGCATTACAAAATTCAGATTTCCAATTCAATGTCCTCGGGGTGGGGGTGAAGAGGATCAGCCAGGTGAAAGTGGCGCAGTCGTAAATTCCAGCTTTGCAAATTATTAATTCCTCCAACTAAGTAAACTGTCTCCTCAGCTTCTTCAAAAGAGACTGAGTTGAGTCTCACAGAATCAATTTGTTGTGTGAAGAATCATCTTTGTCAAGCAAACAATAAGATGAAGTTGGGGTCTGCTATTAAAACATGTGCAGGGTATGAAGTTGGGGTCTGCCATTGAAACATGTGCTGGGTATAAAGTTGGGGGTCTGACATTTAATTGTGTGCTGGGAATGGCCCTCCTTCGGGGCTCTTTGCTCCCGCGTCATCAGCCAAAGCTCAGCTGAAATTTTACAACCAAATTACAGGAAAGAAACCCACTTCAGCATTTATTGAGGCAACACTGCTCTGCACAAAAGCAGTTCAGGCACTCAAACCAAAGACTGTAGCAGCACCACTGTGAATAAGCAAATTCGGAAATCTACTGTGCACACATCTGAGAACCAACAATCGAAACAAGCTGGTGCAGGCAGGTAGGCACGTTACAAGTCACCGACAGAACCATAGGATGTCAGAATGATTCTTGAACAACACTCAAGTACAATCCAACCCACAACTGACATAAGCACACGACCGTTGCCACTCAGCTTTCCAAATGCATGTGGCAGTTACCAGTAAGAATGACTACAGCACAATGGCAGAATGTAACCCATGCACTAACATACTTGTCTCACTTTTATGATCTATAATTGTATTTGACATTGTACAGGCAAATGTCCTTGCACTTTCAGTGCTGTGAAAACTACTCTTGTGTTGTGAACATAGATTCTTCACATTTCCCCTTCCCCTGATTTAGTCTTTCTCCCTTTGGTACACTTGTTCCCGGTTGAGGTATTGGACAGACGACTTGCTCCCTATCAGACCACGATCAAGTGTGTTGATAGCTGAAAAGTGACGAGAGCAACCAGGGTCCAGGTGCTCACCAATGAAGTTCTTCTAATGAAGCCAAAACATCAGCCCCTGTTCTGTCTGAGCACGTGTAGAGAATAGATTGAATGGCAATCACAGGGGTGACAACCTGTCCAACTCAACACTAGAAAAGACAAAATGGGGGTAAAAGGCAACAAAGTAGAGAAACAAAGATCTGAGAAAGTGTTAGATGAAATACTGCCAGTTTTTGGTGGGCCAGCCACTGTCCTAAGTCACCTATTTCTTCTTCATGGCTCTCTTCCCTTCCCCTTTCTTTGGTGCCCCCTTGCCTCGAAGTTTCCTCAGTCGTCGCATTTCGTCCTTAAAATCTTCGTGCTCATCTCTGGGAAGAAAGAAGGAAAAAAAAGGTTTTTCTCACCAAAGTGCCATTCTGTGCACTGGGCCTCACTCATCACGTGCTGAACAACACTACCACCACCATCAACTTGCAATTATACAGCGTCACTGAGGGGCTTAACAGCAGAGTGGCTTGACGTCAAACCTCAAAGGGTGGAGGGTGGGGGAGCTGACTGAAATACAGTCAGAGGAAAATCTTCATGCATTATTTGAAAACGGGGCAAAGAGGGGGTAAGACGGAGGGATTGAGGCAAGGAGTTTCAGAGATTCGGGGTACAGAGGCTGAAAGCACCACCGCCAAATATAGAGTGGAGTGGACGAGGGACGTGCCAGTGGAAGAAAAAGTACATTTTTTTTGGTCTTTTTACTATGGTCATCATTTCTCTGAGCTTGTTTCTGGTTTCATGAGCTCCATGCATACCATCTTATACCATGAGAAAGAAATTTAATGTTTAAGCACATATTAAGATAATGGAGTCCTGTAGCTCAGTGGTTAGAGCACTTACCTGGCAAGCGAGAAACCTGGGTTCAATTCCCGGAAGGGCAAAACCTTGGGCAAGTTTCCTAACTCCACACATACACAGACACACACACGCACCTGATAATAATCCCTCAAGAAAAAAAACAATAATAAATTGGTCACTTCAATCCACGACTGTTTGTGGGACACTGCTGTGCGCAATTGGCTGCCACATTTTGCCCACAAATATACAATCAATTCACTTTACAGCATATTCTGTGAAGCACTTTGAGACGTCTAGAAGACGTGAAAAGCGCTATATCAAATGCAGGGATTATTATTATTATTTTTGCTTTAGTGCCGGTAAAGATGGCGGGTAGAGGATTGGGGTGTGAGCAGTTGCGGAGGTGCAAGGGCATGAGAGATTTGAAAATCAGAATCACTTTGATTTTAGATACTTACTAACTTGGGGTTACCAGCAAAGTCAGAGGCTAATCTCTGTGTGTTATTGGAGTGAATTTTTTGTCGGTGCCTAGAGGTGAGTGACAGACTGACCACTGATTCAAGGATATTCAATCGTTTTGTATTTTCTTGGTTAGTTCGTATTTGGAGCACTGTCAGGACGGATTCTCTTAAGTGTTCAACTCACTATTTACCCAGTTTAGGCTCAGCCTTGTCAGGTATCTAATGACCAAAATATACATTTGGAAAGGGGAATTAAGCATTTCTCTGCTACACAAGGAATTTGAAGAATCTCTGGTCCTTGGTCTGCCAAGTACTACTGATGAGTCAGGCTGGCTGGGTGGTGATCAGCAGCTCCCTGGAGAACTGCAGACCTGCCTGGCTCTGGAATTGGACAACTGAGACCACCGCAGAGGACTGACCAGCTTTCAACATTCTATTGCCAAACATGTCAGCTTGGTGCCAATTCTTCTCCTGAGAGAGGTTACCTGAACAAACCCATAAATCGTAATTTTCTCATCAAGGCGAAATAGGTGTTGTGCTCTGGATACCAGTCGTAAACCTCCTTCTGTCGTGCCAGGGGCTGCTCGCTGAACAGCTTCACCACCTTCATTGATTTATCATCTGTCGGCCGGGCAACCTCCCCAAATATCTGTGCACTGAGACGCATCATACGCCGGGCGTAATTGGACAGCGTCGACATCGCAATCTTTCAAGAAGGACCAAAGTCATTGTCAAGCAAAATTGTACAATTACAACCCCGTTCACAGCATTTCAGTCAGACAAATGACAGTTGCACAGCATTAAATATTGATGCCACCCGCTCACTATCTCAGGCTCGCCGTGCCGCCCATCCCCCACCCGGGTCGCCTTGTGAAGCACTCCAAAATATTATTCTATGTGAAGGGTGCAGTAACAAATGCAAAGTGGTATTCATAGGACTCAGAAACAAGTTATTTGTTTACCAAGTCTGTGGCAGAGAGCGGGAGGGGGGGGGGGGGGGGGGGGCTTTAAGGGGCTGTGAGGGGGCAGTGAGTGCAGCCAAAGAGAGTGAGGAGGGAGAGAGTGAGGGGGAGAGAGTGAGGGGGGGAGAGAGTGAGGGGGGGAGAGGGTGAGGGGGGAGGGGGGGGAGAGAGCGAGGGGGGGAGAGGGGGAGAGAGTGAGGGGGGGAGAGAGTGATGGGGGAGGGGGGGAGAGAGTGAGGGGGGGAGAGGGTGAGGGGGGAGGGGGGGAGAGAGTGAGGGGGGAGGGGGGAGAGAGTGAGGGGGAGAGGGGGAGGGGGGGAGGGGGGGGAGAGAGTGAAGGGGGGAGGGGAGGAGAGAGTGAGGGGGGGAGGGGGGGGAGAGAGTGGGGGGAGTGGGGGGAGAGAGTGAGGGGGGGAGCGAGTGAGGGGGGAGCGAGTGAGGGGGGAGAGAGTGAGGGGGGGAGAGAGTGAGGGGGGGAGGGGGGAGAGAGTGAGGGGGTAGAGAGTTAAGGGGGAGAGAGAATGAGAGTGCAGTGAGTGAGGAGGTTGAGAGTGGGTGAGGGGGACAGAGAGTGAGGGGGGAGCGCGAGTGGGGGGAGTGAGAGAGGGGAGGTGAGGAGGGGGGAGTGAGGGGGGAGAGCGAGTGGGGGGGGGGGAGTGAGAGAGGGGAGGTGAGGAGGGGGGAGTGAGGGGGGAGAGCGAGTGGGGGGGGGAGTGAGAGAGGGGAGGTGAGGAGGGGGGAGTGAGGGGGGAGAGTGTGGGGGGAGACTGACGGGGGGGAGGAATGAGGTGGGGGACAAAGAGCAGAGTTTCACCTTCTTACCGGAAGTTTTCTCAGTCAACCCAGTCCGGCTTCAGCGGTCACTTCCTGTCTCTGTGTCTCTGTCTGTGTGTGTAACACAATAAAGCGTCCAGAGTCAAACATTTTCCCAGGACAGCAGCCCCCCCCCCACCACACAACTGCTCAGACCAACCCTGACACAGTGCAATACATCTGTGCAGCGCCTTTCACTTCAGGATTACGTCCCAAGGCGCTGGACAGTCAGGGGTTTGCACCCGAACCGGGGGTTGGGATCAGCCAATGGAGAGTAGGAGGAGGCCCGAGAGCGCGATCAAAGAGGGTGGTCTTGACACGTACCTTAAAGGAGGCAAAGGAGGGAGGAGGGAATGTGGGAGGGAGTTCCACAGAGTGGGGGCCTGTGAAGGTCCGACCATCAATGGAGGGGTGGGCCAGGCCGGGCCGGGCCGGGCCGGGCGGGGCGGGGGCCGTGGGCAGGCCAGGGCCTGCTGAGCCGAGGGAGCGGACAGGTTGATTAGGGGTTAGCAGGTCAGAGAGGTAGGAGGGGGCAAAGCCACGGAGGGCCTTGAAGGTGAGGATGAGAATTTTAAACTCAGTCCTTTTGAGGGATGGGGAGCCAGTGGAGCCGGGGCGAGGGTGGGTGTAATGGGGTCACGGAGCCTGGTGCGGGAGAGGGTAAGGATGGGGACGAGGGAGCAGGTGGTCAGTCGAGGGAGCAGGACATTCGAGGGCAGGGTTCCTGTATGTGAACAATAAAGATCCTGAGATAATATAATAATAATAATAATAATCCTTGCATTTGATATAGCGCTTTTCAGGTCGGGAGGACGTCCCAAAGCGCTTCACAGAACACACTGTAAAGTGAATTGACTGTATATTTGTGGGCGAACGCGGCAGCCAATTATATATATATAAAAATATATGAAAAAAGAAGGGAATTTTTTTCCAATGTTCTGACCAACAATATCCCGATTGGTCATTCACTTCATGGCACAGTTTGCTGATTGCCAGCTATGTTCGTCCACAAATACACAGTCACTGCACTTCACAGGAAAATCTTGTGAAATGTTTTGAGATATCTTGACAACATGATAAGGGGCTATTATTTGGAGATCCGTAGCTTGGTGGTTAGCATGCTCGCAGGTGAGAGAACCCGGGGGTGGGGCGAAACATTAGACAAGTTTCCTTACTGCACGCACCTCTGTTTAGCTACGAGTAACTGGAATAAAAGTGCTCGTGCTGAGCTATTTTATTTTCACCTGGGAGAAACCCCTTCGTAATTCATATTTCAGATTGTTGTGTGAAGGACTTTTCAAGTGTGATAACTGTGGTTTGTTCTTGACCTCACTTCTGTTGAGGTCTGTCATGCTCAGTTATAGAATCATTGGCATTTCCCTTTGCTTTCTGCTTCCCTCCACCCCCATTCCAATTCCCTTACCATCTCGCACCACGTGATATTCACTTGGTAAGATTTCTCTCTCCGCGGGCAATTCCTTACAGTGATGGGATCCCCTGTTGTTTTACAAGTGTGCATCACAAATTTGGCCTGAAGACAGCCATCAATCTTCCAAGAGGCGCAGAGAAAGGCTCTGCAGACAAATGCAATTTGCACAGAGGAAATTGCATCAAGGAAGAATGAAAGCTCTGGGCGCATGCAGGACTAACATTATGTGCTGGCGGAGCCTGGGGCAGAGAGGACCTGGAAATGAAACCATTTATTCATTGCACCTATACGGCATTATTTCCTAATAAGATTTTTCATCAAGGAATCCAAGTGGCATAAATAGTGATTTCAAGTGATGGGTTCAAGCTCCACATCAGGGTTTTTAGCTTACTGACGCCACATCCCAGCATTGGGGGGGACACCACACTGGGGTAAAGCTATCCTGCAGATGAGACATGAAAATATTATTAATTCTTGCATTTGATAGAGTGCCTTATCACGTCTTTGAGACGTCTTAAAGCACTTCACGGAATATATCGTAAAGTGAATTGACTGTATTTTGACGCAGCAGTCAATTGCACACAGCAATGTGTCCTACAAATAGTCGTTGATTGAGTGAGCGATTTTTTTTTTGCAGGGATTATTACCCCCGTAAAGCAAACTAATTGACTAACAACCTGGTTCCTACTTACTGCTTGGTAAAACGAGGCATGTGAAGAAAGGAAATGCCTAATATTTCGCCCCGCCCGGGAATTGAACCCGGGTCTCTCGCTTGTGAGGTGAAAGCACTAACCCTTATGCTACTGGACTCCAAATAATAGCGCTTTATCAGGTTGTCAAGATATATTATCCAAAGCGTTTCACAGAATTTTTCCGTGAATTGCTACTACACATCCTAGCAACATTGTGAAGCAACATGTATTTGATATAGCACTTTATTGTGTGGTTAAGACGTCTCAAAACGCATCACAGAATATACTGTAAAGTGAATGAACTATACTTTGTGGGAGAAATGCGGCAGCCAATTGGGCACATCAGTGTTCCCCAAACAGTTGTGGATTGAGTGACCAAATTATTATTATTAATTTTGCTAGGTAAACAGACATGCGGGAACTTGCCTAAGGTTTTGCTCCTTCTGGGAATTGAATCCAGATCCTCTCGCTTGCGAGGCCAGTGCTCTAACCAATACGTTCCACACCAAAGAAACAACAGGATCATTATTAGCATCAATATCATTATATTGATTATTGATACTCATCAATAATTGTATTGATTATGTATTCATTATTATGATGATTATTTCATCAATATCATTATATTTAATTTAATAACTCGATGGATTACAGAGTTGTGCATGGGGACTCTCTGCTCTTGCTGAATTGCAGAAGAAATGAGAATTCCATTCAAATTCTTCATTAAAGAATCCCATTAAGAAATACCACTAATTGGATATCATTGTCACTTGCATTGTGCTCAGGATATTCAATGCTTTCCGAGTTGTGAACAATCTTGCACAGGCTCAATCTTTCGATGGAAGCTACTTAATAATACCAACAATGAGGAGAGATATATCAGCAATCAATCCTTAATTAGCTGCTGTTTTTCCCTGTAAACACAGTCACTACAGAGTCCCATAGCAAAGCGGTTAGCGTGCTTGCAAGTGAGAGTAACTCGGTTGGATTCCCGGGCAGGGGAAAACCGCAAGCAAATTTCCTTACTCCACATGCCTCTAAATAGGAATCCAGTTATTAGGTGGATCTCTTTCCGTGAGTAATAGCCCCTCCCCAAAAAAATGTGGTCACTCAATCCACGACTGTAGGACACTGCTGTGCGCAATTGGCTGCCATGTTTCACCCACAAAATACATAATTGATCCACTTTACAATATATTCTGTGAAGTGCTTTGAGACGTCTCAATGACGTGATAATGCGCTATATCAAATGCAAAGATTATTATTATTAAATAATCTCATTAAGAAATACCTCTAATTGGACCCATTGTCAGTTGCATTGAGCTTGAGCTATTCCATGCTGCCCAAGTTGTGAGTAACCTTGCAATCTCTCAATCTCTCAATGCAGTCTGCCCAATTTAGTGCCAATAATTAGGAGAGACATGTACCCAGTACCCAGTGCTCAAATTAGCTGCCACATTACTCTGCAAATACCACACTTTACAGTAAAATCCTGTTATTTGCTTTGAGATGTCTTCACATGGCAATGATGAGAACCTATGTTTCAAATGTAAGTATTCTCATTGTTGTATTTTTCAGTTTCAGTGTTGCATCTGACACTTATTGGGTTCCAGGCTGGAATCGTAAAGGTGAGCGACTGTGTTTGCTGTGCTTCTTCCACCACTAGATGGAGCACATGATCTCCAAACAAGGGGCTGGTTTACCTGAAAGCAACTGTCCAACCAAATGTCCAAATATCCCTTTCTCTTTGCCAGGTAAGGAAGTGCCAGTTACAGGGCTTCGGTTCGAGGTAGCTTCAAGCTGACGTTTCACTTTGCTCTTTGCAACATGCTACTTGTGGTTCAATGAAGAAATGCACTGTAGAGCATGAAACTACTGATCCTTGCATTTGGCCTGTAACGTCAAAATACCTCAAAGTGCCACACGGTAATTGCTGTCACCTCCAACTTGTATTTTATACAGCACCTTTCACGTGGAAATTGACATTCCAAATTCTTTTTTCTGTGTTGTCCCATACAACATTCACTTCATTCTTATCAAATCTCACAAGAATATTGAGAAGTGAATGTTGTTATGAACCCGGCGGTTAATCTGTGCCGGGGCAGGCCATAAACAATGATGAAATGAGCAGCCAATTCAGTCGATAACTAACACTCGCCTCGTGAAGTTGTGAGTTCAAGTTGTGAGTCCACATTGGGTGTTTAGGCTGACACTAATGTTGTACTGGGGAGATGTGCTGCAGTGTCGGGAGTATCGTCGTTTGGATGAGACATTAAACATCTGTGCCTTTCAGGTGGCGGTTAAGTCCTGTGCACATATCGAAAATACATTTTCTCTCTCCTGATGACCTAGCCAACAATCCCCCGATAATATTAGTCACTCATTCCATGGCTGTTTGTTGGACATTGCTGGGCGCAAATTGACTGCTGTGTTCAGCTTCAAGATACAGATTCACTTTACAGTAAATCCTGCGAAACACTTTGAGACGCCTTATTGACGTAAGAATGTCATACATTAAATGCAAAACTTATTATGTATTGCATTTAATTATTTATATTGGACAAAAATCCACATAATGCATGTTCCACATAATGTATGTCACCCTGGCTCAGTTGGTAGCACTATTGCTCTAAGTCAGAAAGTTATGGGTTCAAGTTGCACAACAACAAAACAAATCATAACAACAAATTACATATATATAGTGCCTTTCATGTCAGGAGGACATCCCTGTTGACTACACCTTTAAGAGTAAATTGACAATTAGCAAAAGGGCCAAAAAGAAGAAAGGCGAGAAGTACAAAAGGCCAGGGAGACAAAGTGTGTGGTTTGGAGTGGTGCTTGGATTGACAAATAAAGAAGCTTATGAACACACTCTTGATTTGGATCAAGTTATTTTACATGGTGTCAAAAGTGAACCGACTTTGGACTGAATTGGACTACGAGACTGGAAGCCAATTAAGCAAACAAAATGCTGCCCCCGAGCTGTCCTTCCCCAAAAATGCTCCCTACCCTGCAACTCTCCCGCTCTGTC